GGTGTGCCGGCCCCCACACCGGACGCTGTGCTGCACACCGGGTCCCTCTCTGTCTTCACCGGGGTCCGCTCTCGGTCCGGACGTCCTAACCAAGCGGCATGAGGGGACCCGGCGGCCGGCCGCGGTACGGCCGAGCCCACCGTCCGGACGCGGGCGTGTGGACACGGCGGCTCCTGTCAGGTCACTGACCCAGCGCCGCCCGTGCAGCCCGGATCGTGGCTGGAGTGGACCGCACGGCGCGTCGGGACCGGCTGGGTCAGACTGGGACACCGCGGTCACGGAGTCGCTCTTCGGTGGCTGCTTGACACCTCTCAAATATCTCGACCGGGAGATCGAGCTTCACGAACGCCTGGAGAGTGGGCGGAACCTTTCGGGACATCTCAGTGTCGGGGCGGGAAACGCGCTGCTCGTTTGCCACCATGAGTTGAGCTTCAATGCGCGGGTTTGATCACCTTGTGCAGAGGTTCCGCGGTTCTGCACGAACAGCGGCTAGCTGTGGCCCTCGGGCCGGCGTCTGCGTCCGGGCCTGACCTCAGGTCTCGTGCTGCCGTGCCGCTGATCGCCGGCTGTGTCATAAGTCTAAGAGCAGGGCAGCCCACAGCATGCGCTTGGCTGCGGGCGGAGGACCGAACAGAGCGTGCCTTCCGCTGCGGACGCAGACCCCGACCACAGCATGCGTTTGGCTGGGAGCGGAGGACCAGGTCAGCGCGGCGTTTGTTTGTGAGGGAGCGCCCGGACTGTGGTGCGTGGTTGATCACAGGACCGCGGCCTGGTCGCCAGAACAGACCGCAGCCGCCCAGATCAATGAACGTTCCTCACAAATACCTCTGAGCTGCCGGGTGATATGCTCAGAGGATTCGTAGAGAACGCAAAGTTGCGTGCGATGTAACACGCCGGAGTGGCTTTCAACTCGGATGAACGTGACCCCACTCACCACTATTTCGTGGCACTAGCCGGTCATGAGCCGCGACTGACTTGACAGGCTTTGAAATTCATCGAACTGTTCGTTGAAAAACACCAACCTTCAAAAGCGCGAAACCGCTATCGCTGCCAACCGTCAGTCACTGCTGATAGCTCAAGCACTATCTCACAGCCGCGCCATCGAACTCAGAGAACTCAGACCGAGAAAGCTCAGACTCGGAATCGCTGCACTTCTGCTGCTAAGGCGCCTGAACCCAGCTGGTTTCTGCTGAGTACCACTCGACACGAGCGTGGGGCACGAGTGGCGTGCTGGCCTGCGGTGCCGGCCGCTCGGCGGCGGCATCCTCCATTTGTCATCCCGCCGGGTAAACAGAGCCGCGCGGGCAGCGGAGATGGGCAGATGCGGCCTCTAGCCGGCATTCCGGCACCCCACAGGCTCGCCCAGCTATGTGGACAGAGGCTGCGGGCGTCAGCGGAACCGTTGACCCTGCCTTCATCCTCGCCGCATGCCCCTAACTATCTATCAATCTGCCTCCCTGCCCAGCCTTCCCGTCCAAGGCGCTGCCCGGTACGGAGAGTTGACAGAAATCCCAACACGAAATCGCGACCTGTCGTCTATTCAGCGATGTGCCCAGACTGGGCTCACAGCTGCGAAACAATACTGCTGGGAATATTCTTTTAATCGCAGAGATAGTCAGTTTTCGCCTACGGGTACCCGGTCCGACGTCTTCCATTTGTGACCCCCGCCTGGCCGGCGAGACGAACAGCTCTGCGGACGATCACTTTCCATCTGCACACATCGGGCGCTGCAGACCGCATTCCAGTGTCACCTGACCTTTCGAAGATGATAATCGGCACTTCGTGCGAAACGCTAAGTTTAATGGAAGCCAGCTCCCATCAGGACGACGGATAAGCGACCGTGGCGAGGATAATGAGAGGGTGCCACGCCGGACCCATGCCGGTCCCCTAGCGGTCAAAGTGCCATCTCAATCTCGCAAGGACGCTTGGCGGCGTATATTGCATGCCAAGCTTTTAAAACTCTTTATGTTTGAAGTTGACTTTAGGTTGTGAGATCTATCCTGCAATCGCAGCGATGCACAGGGAGGGTGATGTCTGCGTGCTGAAGTAGCCCTGTCCTTCTACGAGGCGTGCCGCTCGCTCTCATTGGAAGCCCTGCCGGCTCAGCCCAGACCAGCGCGGCTTTCATCTCACACCCGCGGCATATTAGCGCCGCCTCGCTCGGTCTACACGATTACATGTGGCCCCATCCTTTCGAGGCAGCGCCTCTCTTCGAGCCTGCCCTCGCAAAAACCATAGCCATTCCTATGCGTCCGCCGGTGCCCTTGGCGGATGCGTGTCCCCGGCCAGCGCAGCCAGCACAGCGCTGGCCCGGCCGCCCAGCGACCCCGCCTCGGCCGGCGCCCGTCACAGGAGAATGCGCGGAATGTCTGCACCATTCAGCCGAGCCGCCGACGTGGGAGGACCCCCGCTGGCGCCGGGGCCGCCGCGGACGGCGGCGCCCACCAAAACGGCAGCGGCTACCCGGCGGAGGCGACGCCAGAACGTGCGCGGCGACCGTTACTGGACGCGTGGCCGCGGCCCGGGGAATCCGGACGGGAATGCGTCCAGGCTGGGGCGGTCCACCGTCATCGGATCTGGTGCTGACGCTGGAGTCGTGATGGACGGGACGATTTCAAGTGGATCAGAGTCTCCGGTGGCTATAATTATGAATATCCTGCCTCGAATTTTACCGTTTTTGTTTGAGTACAACGCCATTATTCTGGACCTAGAGTTGGTTTGTTGAAGCAGGCAGAGCGCAAAGCAAGTGGACGTTCAGCTCAACTTCCGGTAAATTTCTTGGCATTAGTTATTTACTATCGGAGTGACAGTTTGACTTTGGTTTTCAACAACTCAGATAATGTTCAGAATGCTTAACCACTTTCAATGAAACCTTTAGCTTTCGTTTGCTACTTATTCCACTGTCCCTTTTAGCCTATGCCTGGGTATAAACCTTCTACTATACTAGCAGTAACGGTGCTTGCGTTATAGCAATAAAACACTGCCTAACCAAACTTCACAGTCCACTTGAGCATCTATTTAAAGGTGTGTCAAAGCCTTTGGTGGAAATGCAACTTAGTTTGTCATCACACAATTGCATGCATTTAATGGCCTAAGCTTGTCTAGATCCACAATAAACCATACAACCGTCGTAAGAGCTCTAAACGTTGTCATGCCAACATGCATATATCGCAATGAATTTTAGTGGCATTTTGCATTGGTTTATCCCATTTGAAACTGGTCAGCTAACGTGCCAAAAAGTTGGGCACATGGGCATGCCTAATTCAGCCTAAACCAGGGTTGTTGGGGTTTTGGTTAACCAGTCTTGGTTAGGACCAAGATTTCGCCAACAATTCGACCAGAAACCGACGTACTAAGCCCAATTATTTGGCATCATCACCCGCACTTCCAACTGATGCATGCTTCTACTTGTGACGTCGTCGTCACCTGACTATATGGCATTACCTGCTTCTCACCATGGCAGGAAATGCACCCAGCTGATAAAGCTACACAGCGTCGCCTGCCCCCCCCCCCCCCCCTCTCTCTCTCTCACCTTGGAAGGAAGGGCAGGCACCGCGGGAAATCGAGCCCCGTACCTCTGTGTCCCAGGAGCGCAGCTTAACCACTACACTGTCGCCGGCAACCCAGATACCTGTGAAGTCGTCACCAGTGAACAGGGTTCCTAATTCATAGATATAAACTTCAATTGATGGTTCATTTAGCTTGAGACCGCGTGGAAAGAAAATCATGCATATGCGAAAGGCATGCACCTGCCTGGATGGCCAGTTCCAGTTCCAGTGCCTAGGTTGTTCCAGGTGGCTGGCACCACCGCTGTCCACTAGCACACATTCCAGTGATTATTTTTTCCTACCTAGTCTAGCTCCACGCCGCAGCAGCATCTGCCTCCGACACTTTTCCCTCTCTCCTCATCAAACCGTTCCCGGCAGAGGTCGCTTTCAAAGGCTACATTTTTACACACACGGGGAAAACGTAGACGCTCCAGGTGACCCACTTCCCGACGCTCGCCCGCGGGAGATGCGTCCAGGCGAATCCCGATGCTTTAGTACATGTGCATTGCCAGATGGTTTTACGTCGATGAACGCCACTGCTTGACTAAATTGAACTGTTTCGTTGTGAAATGAATCGCGAATAGCCGTCTATCATGCTTATGGAATGTTCTTGAATACATTGACCGATGTCCGCGAAATGGAAGGAGGGTAAATAGAGCTCTGCTTAAGTATCAGCTGTCATTGGTCTTAGTGTCAAAATCGGTGTACCCTATATTGTAGCCGTTTTATCTGCTGTCGAAAACTAGATGGATCTACCAGCGCATGCGCACAAATTACGAGATAATTACAAGATAAAGAGTCGGAACGACCGTCCCAATCTGACCGTTTGCGCTTTCCCATTAAAAATGCTGCAAATGTCTAAGAAAGACGTTACCCTGCTCGAGACCCGAAAGCTCGGCTGACTCTGAGCCGGAGGGTCTGGTCCGCTCGCCACTGACGTACCGGCTGGACGTTCAATCATCGCTTGAGGAAACTGTCGTACGCCTCCATAACTGGCGCAGCCATGACAGCCGTGCAGGGCGACGAGCGTGCCAGCCGTTACGCTACGCTACACGCCGCTCGAAAGCTACGCTAGGACACCTTCGGTCGTGATGGTCCGCAGGGATTGTTCGATATCAATTAATCCTGCTTTCGATAGGCTGCCGGTCACAATGCTTCATTGGTTGATAGACTTTGGGTGACTTAGCAGCGTAATAAAGACATTCAATCATAAATTATAGCAAGGCCTATGTAGAATCCATGCTATGAAGATTGCACTGTGAATTCATCGCCGTTCTGGAGATGCATCCACCGTGCCCTGTTGGTTTTTGTCAGGCTACCTTTGTACTTATTCTCTGGCATATTTCGTATGGATCGCTGGTGAATCATTGCCAGGTACCATGTGTAGTGGGCTGAAGCTATAGATAAAATGCATCAAGTTGGCTCCTTGTTTTACCGATGCGTTTTTTCCAGACGCTGCGACCGAGCTGCACAAGAGGTCATTTTAGCAGGTATGGTCATGTCCGGCAAACCCTCATGATGAAGTTGACGGAAGCTGTTCATATCGTGCTGGTTACCACCGCTTTAGCTCATTTTCAATGATTAAAGGCACCTCCTTCCGAATCGCTGAACCACACTAGTCCAAACCGTTTTGCGTACTGACGAGTGCTCTATTCTACAGTTTTCACACACAAAAATATTATATCAGCTGACTGATCTGTGACGTCATCGGCTGAGGCCTGCACGAAGACTGTTGCCTCCACATAGCTGTGATTCCCTTCCGGCGATAGACTGCGGCTCTCTTCCTGCTTTCGATCGCTGTGATGTAATTCGTGGAATGATTTAACTGACCCCCAGTCAGCGCCAACCGCACCATGTGAGGCCACATCAGATCTTCACCAGGGGTCGTGGGAGGTCATCTTCCGGGTGTTGAACCAATGTGATTTTTGCGCCATTTGTGATGAAATAGAATGTGCAATGAGAAGGGCTTGAAGGTGGCATATTCCCATACCATGCAACTCTATGCAGCATTTGAACCAGAAAGGCGGCATAAATAGATCCGGTGAGGAGACCTGAATTCGATCTGATCTGATATGACCTTGATCTAATCTTACCTTGGACACCGACTTTTTTGACCGTATGGAATGTCCCGGAAGCACGAGAGCACGCTCTTTAATGTCAAAAGCTGAACGATTGATATTCCGGCTGCTAAAAGGCACTGCAGTTGTTCAGATATTTTGGTGATTTGGCGGAGGGCGCCCAGTGACGTCATCAATCACGTGACGGATGTCAGCTTAGTGATTTCTGGGATGAGATTGTCCGGGGATATCGATTACCGCTTTGAATGTGCCTCATCCGACTGCTCTGATACACCAAGTGGATGGTGCCTTTGACTCCCAGCAGGCAGTCGCAAGTGGCGGCATGCCCCGTTCCCGCTGCGTTATCCCTGGACAACGATTATTTCCTGCTGATTAGGTGATCTTAACGCTGGATCCGTTTGCGGTCCGGTACGGTTTCTTTGAGCGTGCCGTGTTTCTGTATTAAGCACCGCATGCACGCTTTCCGAAAATACCGGAGATGCTATATCTCTGGTGGTGTGCACGCAGCGGGGCTCAGTTCCGTTTAGCTCAGCAGGTGCGTACTACATTTCAGGCGATTTGAGCTAAGCTGCCACAGGTAACATGAGTTCGTTGCTGAGTTTTAATGACGCGTTAACTGCGTTAGTTATTTGTGCACAGATAGCATCAGTTCACCCCAGCTCCAGCATTCTATATTTGTTACCGGGTCCGGCATACAACAGGCATCAACAGCTACTAAGCCGGAGTGAAGCCAACACCAGTTGTCTTCTGGCGCGCAGCGTCGGTAGTCACAGCGCTCCGACGCCTAGTTACTTACAGAATCCCTGCATCCTTACCCGGCGGTCTGGATGCTTTGACGACCGGTCATGTAACGACACTGCAATGTACGTGCCTGGATCCCAGGGTTGGATCCCGAGTGCCACGTGAGCCTTTGATGACAGAATACGAGTCCTATATTTTTGGGAGGTGTTTTTAGAGGCCGCGTGCATGTTCAGAGGCCGCGTGGATGTCTGCAGAGTGGGTTCGCACCACTGACCGGTGATCACGATGGTCAACTCGACAGACAACCGTGCGAAGTGGCCTCCTACACCCGTGACGTGATCAGTTGACCCCCTGACAACCTTCTGCACCGCTGACCGGTGGCTAACCACCAGTGGGCCCTCTGACAACCCTCTGCCCGGCTGGCCGGTGGCTAACCACCAGTGGGCCCTCTGACAACCTTCTGCACCGCTGACCGGTGGCTAACCACCAGTGGGCCCTCTGACGACCCTCTACCCGGCTGGCCGGTGGCTAACCACCAGTGGGCCCTCTGACGACCCTCTGCCCGGCTGGCCGGTGGCTAACCACCAGTGGGCCCTCTGACGACCCTCTGCCCGGCTGGCCGGTGGCTAACCACCAGTGGGCCATCTGACGACCCTCTGCCCGGCTGGCCGGTGGCTAACCACCAGTGGGCCCTCTGACGACCCTCTGCCCGGCTGGCCGGTGGCTAACCACCAGTGGGCCCTCTGACAACCTTCTGCACCGCTGACTGGTGGCTAACCACCAGTGGGCCCTCTGACGACCCTCTGCCCGGCTGGCCGGTGGCTAACCACCAGTGGGCCCTCTGACAACCTTCTGCACCGCTGACTGGTGGCTAACCACCAGTGGGCCCTCTGACGACCCTCTGCCCGGCTGGCCGGCGGCTAACCACCAGTGGGCCCTCTGACGACCCTCTGCCCGGCTGGCCGGTGGCTAACCACCAGTGGGCCCTCTGACAACCCTCTGCACCTCTGCGGGACGCCCGCCGCGGCCGCCGTCGCCTCGCCTCGCGCCGCTGACCGGCGCGGCGGCCGCGCGGCGCCGCCATTGGTGGCCGCCACTGACCTCTGGCGGAGGAATGCCGACACGCGCGCGCTCAAGCCGCCCCGGTTCTGTGATCTCCATCGCGCTGCGTGCCGGCGGAGATGACCGCGGGCCCGGCCGGCGCCCGGACGTGTTCTCCTGTCCCGGCCGCCGGTCCGCGGACGGCGCCGGCCGGCCCGGAGGAGGCCCGCCGGCCCGGCGCCTCTCGCCGTCTGCAGTCGGCCGCTGCCGGCCGGTCGGACCTGGCCGGACGTTTCCCACCGGCGCGGGACCGGTGTCCGGCGAGACGGTGGCGGACCCGCTGAGGCCGGTCGGAGCTGCCCACCCGGTCGCCGCTGTGCCTGGCCGCTGTGCCTGACCGCTGTGCTGGCCACCGCTGTACCTGGCGTGCTGTGCGGCTGCGGGGCTGTGCGAAGCTGGACCGAGTCCGTTGCCGTCGAACGCTGACAGCGGTGGTCTGTCGGGCCAGGCTGTATCAGATCGCCAGCTTCCGCGCCTTATGCCGTGTGGAGAATACCTGATTTCGGCATTGGCGCGGACGTTCGAGCTACATGTAGCAGTGTTCGATTCATGTAATTAGGTAGCATATATGGAATACCTTGTGAGTGAGCGTTTAGTGAGGACGTTTTTGAATGAATCTGTTATCGAAGTTTCTGCAAAGTAACGTACAGTGCCTTCTTCAATCGAAGATGCACCTGCACGTGTTGCCTTAGGCCGATCAGGCATTACCTACACACCTTTTTGGCTCGTGCTCGCAAAGCCTGAATGATGCATGACCGCAACATTTTCCTTCAATAATCTCCAGCTCGCCGCCTCGATACCCCGACCACCGTTTAGATTGATCACGCGATATTCACGCCACGGCGCGGTAATACGGCTGGGCTGCGCGCGGCGGGCCCGGCGGCGCCCGGCGGGTCACGCACCGGCGCCGAGGCGGAGCTGAGCGCCCTGTCCGGTCGGCCGCGGCCAGCGCCGCCGCCTCTGAAGTGTGTCATGGCACGTCGCCGTGTCCGGCGGCCGGCCCCGCTGCGGCCGTGCTGAGCGTCGTGCGGTGTCACCGGCGGCGTGCAGTGAGTCAGTGACCGACCCGACAGCGCTGCGGAACCGGCCGCCCGCGGCGGCCGGCCGGTCCGCCTGCCGGGGCCGGGCAGCGCTGGCGGTGCGCCGAGGCAAGGCAGTCTCGTCGCTGCTGCGTTTTAGTGAAATAAGAACGAGCTGGAAAGAGAACAGGCGCATTGGGAACTTCTTACGACGTTCGCCGAACGTCAGTGATGCCGAAAAGATTATGTCATTGGAGCATCCAACGATCTGTATTTGGCGAATGTCCGTCAGCCTAAGGGCCGCGATTGACCGCCAGGGTCGGCAGTCTGCGGCCGGTGGCTGTTCCAGCCCACGATCAACGCCACACAATGGTCGACAGTCCGTCATCGGCGGCCGGCCGACGGCACTCTCCCGCGGCGCGGTCGACGCACCCTTATATGCCGGCCACGTCGGCCCGTCCGATTTGATTGAGATAGGAGGCTGGTTTGAAGGCGGCGCCGCGGGTCGAAAGCCGACGTCCGCACTCGGTGGCGGCGGGCGCCAGAGACGGGCGCCTGCACTGGGCGCGCCTCGCGGCGTGCCAGCGCGGGCCACTTCCTCACCCGATGAAAACGAGTGTTGCGCAGTCAGTGTGGGCGCCGGTAGAGCGGCTGCGAGCACCTTCAGCGACCGGACTCTTCGCATGGCAGCTGGTGATCCTGGGTGCTGGTTTCTGCAGGTTTCTGCCTCCGGCTCAGTGCCCGATGAAGCGGAAGCGCCCGACCGGTCTGGCCGTGTACTACGTGGCCAGTGTTTGCTCGCTAGCTTTCTGGTTGTTGCGTGGGACAAGCCTGCCCGTTAGAGGTGCTTAACGGATTCCAGGGAATCCGGCGGCGACGTGGAGGGGTTCACAAACCAGGTCTAAAAAAATGTGTTTGTCTGCTACTTACTGGAAAGATTGATCGCCCCAAAAATCACCTTCAAATCTAGAGCAGCCTTCCACACCACCAGCAAACGGGTACGGTCTTAGAATGTGGTCCCTGCAGTTTTATGCTCACCCATAAAGTTCTCCAGCACTGAGAATGGAGAGAACAGGAGCAGAAGCTTGCAGAAGTTTATGGCTCATTACGCCCTTTTAGTCAATAACAACCCATATGGTCACTTTTCTCCTTTTTTGTCTAGAAAGATTTCTGTGGCGCCCCTCCACCCTGACGTCACCAGCACGCGCTGATCATGCTCCAGCTATTGATAAAAGACCGCAGCTGAGCGGTGCTCCCGGCCGGCCACTTGGTATGGACGGCATCGGAGGCGCGGCCTGGGCGTGGGGCCCGTGATCAGCATTCCAACGGTAGATAGACGTGGAAGTTTCTAAGCAGGTCAAGCAGGTCGATCGCAACGCGCAGGTTTGGCATGCCAGGACCTAGAATCGAATCAATGCTGGGCTCTCATTCTGTCTGCTAATGGTATGCATGTCGAAAGTTATGTGATGTTTGGCTGCCGACGTACGTTTTCCTTCCGGCCGAGGCCCTGTGAAGACCTGCTTTGTGCGAAAGGAGGCTACCCGGTTAGCT